ATCTTTTTGAGGACCTCTGAAAGAAATGGTAAACATCTGCTGGTCATTCATCCAGAGCCCTACAACAGGCTGACCCACTGGCTGGTCGGCCGACCCTCTGGGGAAATGACTTGTTTAAAAAAAGGCGCTGAGGTGCAGGGATTAGCCCTTCAACCAGGACAGGAAGTCCTACGATGTCCAAATTGTAATTGGGTCCATTACTGAACTATCATTCAGTGCAAGGCAAAGTGGAGTCTTCAACGTAGTGATGGGTGGGGAGCTGTAGTGAAGACGTCCCTGGGTGAACTTCACCTCTGACTAATTTTGTCTTTCAAATGAGAAGGAAATTAAAAGACAAAACAAAATCTGAGACTGAGAATCAAATGCAAAATAAAAACAGGAGAGGAAGAGAGGAGCTGGCTTCATCTGAATAATCAAATATGGATCAGGAGAAGATTTGTGACTGCCGTATTTTTGTTTATTTACACATTTGCAACATACAAAGTAAATTAAAAAAAAAAAATGCAGATCATAGAAACGCAGTGTGACCAGAGTCACACGACGGGCAGATGTTTTATTTTGAGACCGTGTAAAAGAAGCTAAATGCATGTTTTTGTTGAGTCTTCCTGTTGGGGGAAGAAAAACAACGGCGTTGTTTTACTGGAAATAGTGCTGGGTTATCTCTCTTCCATGTGGAGGCCATTAGGTCAATTATGAAGAGCCTAGGCCAGGGGTGGGCAGGATGACGCATGCAGGCCAGAGTGGGGGATGGGCGTCGGTGGAAGCCTCCACTTTTACCTCAGCTTAAACCCAGCAGTAGTTTAAAAAAAAACTTGAGGACAATGTTGCTCTGACTCTGATTCAATGTTGTAATGACAATCATTTTGTTACGCAGGTAGAGACACAAAATCATTAACTGAAATCTATAAATCAAATCGAAAATCTATAATAATGCACTTACACCTGTATTTGACAGGAAAGGGACAAAAACTACAATACAAATACGTACTTTGATTTGTCAAATACTCGTGTTTTCACCTTCACTCGATCTAAGGAACTTGTTTGGCCAATTTATTCTGGGAGGGGTCTAGGAGTGTGGCACTACATAATTCACAAACTATTAACGGAATAAATCCAGTATATTTTTATATGTCTACATATATTGGACGATCCAAATTACTCCATGTTACTTTTAAATGTGGTTCATTGTTCGTTGTTGCCCTCTAGGGGTAAGTGTGTTCCCCCCATCTCTCAGCTCTTGTCCTCTCCTAACAGGCTCCTGCTTCCTGCGGACTGACCAACTGGACGGAGAGACAGACTGGAAACTGCGCCTCCCAGTGGCCTGTACGCAGAGGCTGCCCACTGCTGCTGTGAGTCAAAAACGAAAGTTTTAGTGAAGAGATAAATCTATGTTAATAACAACAACAGAAATAATAATAATAACAATAATAATAATATTTTATGCACTGTACAGATGTAAGAAACAAAGTAGAGTCAAGCCAGTAATGAGTATTGTTATTTAATAAATTATAGTAATAAAAACAAATTCATATTTGAAGTATGACAAAGTGAAGAAAAAGCCAAAATGACTAAGATGAGAGATGTGTTTATAACTAATGGATTTACAGATTAACCTGAAGCAAATGTAGCAAAGCAAACCTCAGAGTCTTACAGTAGTCCAAGTCTGAAATGATGGAGAACAAAATAGGGACTAAAGTTCAAAAGGTCACCTTCAATCTGTTTGGTTGGAAGACTGGGACTGTTTCTTGGACTAATAATAGTATTCCATGTTTTACAGTCAAATTGTCCAGAACTAATTAGGATTTAATGGCCTTAAAGTGTTGTTAAGTTTGCCAAAAAGAAATGTTTATGTTCACTGATCTCTGATTGGTTGATTGTGTGGCCTTTTAATGGTCTGTTGTTTGGTTATCTGTTTGATGTGTCTGCACTACAGGAGTTTCATTATTTTCACCATTGAGATAAATAGTTAGTTTTTAATTGGTTAGGTTGTTCATCTAACAGATAAAGAAACTGGAATGATTTGTAATTTTCAGTTTTGTAGGAACTACAATGTTTAAAAGTTCTAAAAGAAAAGTCTTAGTCTCACTGCTCTTTTCATCTGCCGCTCCGTTTGCCTGAAGTGTTTGTTTTCCTTCTTTTTGTAATAATTATTATATGCTTTAGGAGTTACGAAAAAACAGAGACAAGTTAAACAATTAAACAAAGGTTGTGTCAGGAGGAATAAACAATTGGCACCTCAGGAATGAAAAAAAATATAATAACTGCCATGTTTGTCAAACAAGTGGAGGAGCATTCATGGTATTTATGTCATATGCAGTTTGTTCACTAATTATGGCCTGGAGCTAAAGTTGACAATGTTAAACCATAGAGCAAACACTGCTGTTAGACAAAATCAATTACAATACAAAGCTCGTCACTGATGTTAATGAGGAGCTGCAGGTGTTCACAGGTGACCTTTTCTGACATTTGAAAAAAGGTTAAAATGTGATTTTACCAACAAGATAACCAACTGTATCTTCTTCTTGTTCTTAAAATATTGTATTGTTTTGGGACTCATTTGGGTCATTTTTGGCCTTGAATCCCTGTTCCCACGCCCACGTTCTCTCCTCCCGCTCCCTGTGGCAGAAGCTGTTTAGAAAATAAACATTAGCTGCCTGAGGATTCAGGAGAAGGTATGAATAACATAACTGCCATATTTGTCAAACAAGGCAGCTCTATTTGTTTGTTTGAATGTCTCTTTGCAGTTTGTCAATTTGTGCCTCTAGCAAAGGTGCTAAATGAAAAATAGAAAAGCTTGTGTTTATGTAAATATTTATGTAAACCGTTGGAATTTTTGTTTGTTTGTTTGTTTAAATGACTTCTGTATCTGAAGCAGTTTGAAATAGTCACTGGTTTGACCTGTTTTTTATTTTTTATTTTTACTTTAGAACTGAATAAGTCTTCTGAACACGAGGTGAAAAATCTTCTAGAAACCAAGTCAGTCCAGTTGTCTAGTTCTAAACATAAAATGACCAGGATGTTGTCCTTGTCTTATCACAAGGTTCCCACGTGGCCTTGAGAATTGGAATGTTGGAGTTAAATAATGTGAGGGTGAAGAAGTCAAATATCCTGGAAGTTTTTAAATTAGCCAGAACTGGCAACTTTTCAGACTGGGATTCTGGGATTAGAACCTAGAGACAAATCAAGCCACATTCTCGTTCAAGATCGTTGCAATTATTCATCTGTTTCACTCTCCTGTGGAACCCAAGACCCTCTCTTGAAAACCTAAACCTATGAGAATTCTGGGTAAATGTAGATAATTAAAGTTACAACTGTAGAAAACAACTATTTTTATAGTATGGAGATGAAAAATGTGGTAAGCAGTGGTCCAGTGAGTTCAGACAGTTGTCTTTTCTGATCAGAATGTCTGAGATTCACTTTCCAACTTGCTGATGCTGATGTGTCCCTGGACCGGACTCTTAACACACCCTTAAAGAAGGGAGCAAAAAAAAAGCCAAATAAGAACAAAAAGTATGCTTTTTTTTTTTACTTTTTAAAATTATAAATAAGCTTAGAAAATATAAAGAAACCTTTTCAGA